ACGAGAGCACAAAGACACGAGAAGCCCACACTACAGGGGGTGCCTATGTCCCACGGGCTTTGTGTGTGTGTGTTTGTCTGGTTGCTCCAGTGTTATTATTCCAGCTCCATGGTTGGACTCCAGACTCCATTCCCTGAGAATCTGTAGAAAGATAAAGGAATTGACTGTGGGAGATTAAAAAAAAAAAGCCCTTATTTCAAGTAAAAGAAAGACTTTGTCCAATATCGCGATAACTGTGACTAAGACATGTTCAGATAACACACAGCAGCAGCAGCTGTCAGCCATAATTACCTGCTATCACTTTGCTCCTGTTCTCGTTCTTGACATTTGAGAAGGTGGAATGAAAGAACGGAAATTACTGTTTAAATTATTATCAAAATTGTTGCTGTTCAATTTTCTGATGATGGACTTATCGATCAACTAATACTTTCCGTGCTAGTCTAATAGCAGATATCGGATCAGTGCTCGTTTCTAGTGGATTGATCCAAGGCCATGGGTCAGTGTTTGTAATCCAAAGATAGGTAAGACAGGTTAAAAGAGGTGGAGATGATGCAGGTAATCAGCAGTAACCCAGTGAGACCAAGTAGCAGAGTTTGTCTGACAGGGTTCATTCACCAAAGACTGTGAGTTAGTTAATATAGTTCCCTGTAGAGACTCTTTTGCTCGAGCTCGGCCCTTCGTCTTGCACGTGGCAGTCAGTACTCAAGGCTAAAACTAGGTCTCAGAGCGCTGAAGTGTCCCAGTAGCCTGTGTCCCAGCGTAACACACTGCCACTCGAAGGAACATTTAACCTTGGAGCTTCAACATTCAAACTGCTGCTCTACAGTAATTACCCCTGCACAGGAGGTTATGATTTGTCTGCTAGTTCAGACTTTTAACACATTTAAGTTAAGGTTTGGTTTAAAGCTTAAAAACTGACCAAATTACAACATCTACCTCCATTTTATTTGACTTTGTGAAATCTCTGCTTGGATTCCTTCATGGTAAGAAGCTGGTAAAATAGCGTGTGAAGCAGACTACTTCCTCCTGACTTGTGCAGTAGGTTTGTGGTCTCGGCGCTTGATGTAGCATCTTGCTATCTAACAACAGCACAATTAGATTGAATTCCTTAATCCATATTAGTATAGGCAATGAAAAAATGGTTATAACCTTGTTTCCAGAACAGTATTCGTATGAAGTGTCACTGTAAACTAGAGATATGCACAATTGTTCAACAAAACAATTAAATGTTGCTACCCTTGCTAGTCGGAACCAAAAATACTCTGCATCCCTAATGCGCCGGATAACTGTTGCGTCTAAGATGTTACGCAGCTGCCCGCCACTAGCCTGGATGTTGTAAACCAGCAAGGTGGGAAATGAGTCTGATGACATCTCATAAAGTCTGGTGCAGTTTGGCTGTATTAAGATATGGAAAATAAAAAAATAAAGTTGAATGTAGGCTGTGTCAGAACAAAGTGGCACAGGCATGTGGACGTTAAGCTCCAAGGAAAGATGGCTGCTGGTGCTAGCACTGCTAATGTTAGCAAATCACTCGGCAAACCAATATGACATAGTTTACCTGCAGACGCTGTGATCCCTATTAATTTCTGATTAAATTGAGGTGAATTTGGACTGTTTACTCGACTAGTCTAAATCTAAATTACCATTTAAGCTACTGAGAAATTCGTCCTTAGGACCATCCCTCCTGTAATCCTGTAAACACAGAGCGATGATGTTTAATATGGAAATAACCAAAAATTAGTACTTTCATTTCATGTTTCATTCCTGTGTTGTCTGAGCAGGATGAAGGCTCTCGTCTCACTGCATTAGTGGAACTGGTTTCATGTACTTAGGGGAAGAGGAAGTAGTACCCTGTTTTAACTAGCTTTTAACAGTCAGTGCCTTACTCATAATCCGCTAATGGAGTATCTCTCCTCTCTCTTGTCAGTGATTCATTTGAACCCACATCGTGCTCCCTTGGCTTCATCTCCTCTGCTCTCCATGCACTTTAAAACAGTTAGCATGGCTCTGCTGTCTGATGTGATTGTAAAACCAAACCCTGTTCATTCCTTTGCAGTCTTTTACTGGTCTCTCCCTCGGTTGTTCACAGAGGAATTATGTCGTCAGCAGTGTTAACGTGTTCAGTGTATTTCTGTTTTTATCCCAAAAGCACCAACTGTCTATGGACATTGAATATTTTGTCTAGACTTTTATTCTTGTCAGGTTCTTCCATGACCCGCCTGTCTTAAGGCTGGTGAGTTGGAAACTAAATTTCCTGTAGGTGTGACTGTATTTGTCTTTCTGTGTGTGTCAGCCCTGTAATAGACTGGCAGCTTGTTAAAGGTGCACCTTGCCTCTTGCCAAAGGCATGCTGGGTAAGGCTTCAGCCCCCTCATGAACCTGAATAGGATAAGAGGTTCAGAAAATGGATTTATGGCAATCATTACACTATTACATTACACTGAAACGGCAAGACAAGACACAGAAAAGACATTGAAAAGCATAGTGTAATGTTGTTATTGCTGATTATGAGACCGGTCTGCTGAACTTAGGCTCTATTAATAGACTTTATTGAAACCAGATCTGGGCATAGAGAGAGGTCAGTTTGGTGTCAGATGTTTCAGTTTGGTGAGGCCAGTTTATTTTGTCGTTTACACCTGCATGTTTATAAATGGATTTAAAGATCAAACTATCAATCGATTAATTTGTGAAATGTCGAAACGGCAGAAAATTTTTAGGACTAATGTTTGAAAGATGTGTAAAAGATCCATATTCGGTGTGGATAGGAGACCAAAATAGAGGAACTTTGTTTTATCTTTTATTTATCTGTGGTGTAAACGTGGCCCAAGATATGCACACACAGACAGGTAATTTACTTTGGTTCAGATCAAGAGAAAACTAGATTCAACCTCACCAGATTACTGTTTTTTTAAATTTGTTTTCTGGAATAAAAATGACAAAGACTAACTGCACCGGAGGGCTTTGACAAATATTTGATCATTAAGGTCAGATGAACTACAGGCAGACAGCCTGTTCCAAGAAGCATCTGAATGAAACCCAGAACATCAGTCCCTGACACAGATGTGAGATTTAACTGATCTGGATGACTTGGGTTCACTACAGTGTAAACCTTGGGACTTCTTGGGACAGGCCCCTGGAGTATCTGGGCGATGCTGTCTGCATATGGAAAGTGTGTTTACTCTGCCGGGCCGTCCCAGATAATGAGGGAGACCCAATGCAAATGACTCTTCCCACAGGGATTTCAAGTCACAAACACACGTTCAGCTTAAGTGGGTCATGATGATGATCTCATGACAAAAGATTAGATTAATGCAGATAAACTTTGATCTCAACATTATACACACACACATAAAGACACAGACACACACATGTTCCTCCCCGAGTGCCTTCCTTTCTCTCAGCATCGCTCATTAGCGAGAATCAATCTGCAGCTCTGCGCGAGTGCCGGAGCACTTGTATACACACACTGCTAATAGGGGCCCGGGGGAAACACACACACACACACACACATACACACACACACCCTCCCACACGTACATATGAACACCTTTCACCAGCCTGTGAGATGTGGGGGGGGAGGCACTGAGCCACTGTGCCCTGTGAGTGATAGAGGGAGGTAGAGAGATACAGAGGTAGGAAGAGAGAGAGAGAGAGTGTATTAGTCCTCAGCACATTTTTATGTCCATATATGGTTGTAAACCTTGCGGGGGAGGGAGGGGCTGTCGTCTCGCTGTCAGTTTGACATGTGACCTGGAAACAGGAAGTGTTGTGGTGCAGAAGAGAAGTGAGGAGGAGGAAAAATGACTGCTCAGATGTGCTGTAGACTGAGAGAGACACTGAAGCGCCTCACTCCACCCTCCACACCAGTGACACAGTAACATTACACCCCCTGTTGGCCACAATACAGATATATATATATATATTCTGTGTTTACATTGTGAAATCTAGGCATTAAGTTAGTGCACTTACAGTGAGAGCAGCACTGGGGTAGTTCAAAACTTAAGAAGACTTACAAAGGACAGAGCAGTGGTGGAGGAAGTGTAGAGATCCTTTATTCAAGTAAAAGTATGAATACAATAGTGTAAAAATATTTCTGCAGGTTCTGCATTTAAGTAAAAGTATTATAGCAATTAAAGTATGAAATGTGAAAAGCACTCATTATTTCTTTCTATCTTTTCAATGTGTTTGAAAATGCTGAATTGTCACCAACATGTAGACATATGTATGATGTTCTTAAAATACTGCTCTGTCAGTCTAGTCAGATTATTTTTACCTGTCTGTCAGATATCGATTCTCACTTTCAGAAACGTGTGTGGGAACCTTGATAGATGTCACAATAACGGATCGCTGACCTTATTAATGAAACTCATAAACAAACTGGTTGTAGTTATCCTGCCATAATGGAAGACGACACCTGTCATAAGAAAATTAAAACTTTCTGATGGGATGAAGATTCTTGCAGTGCTTGCACTCTGCAAAATGTCAATCTAGCAATCAGATGAATATAGTGCAGTAAAAAGTAAAATAGTTCCCTCTAACATTTTGTAGAGTAGATGCACAAAGTAACAGGAAGCGGAAATTCACATGCACATAAAACTACTGGAGTACAGTACTTGAGTAAATGTACTTAGTTACTTTCCACCACTGTGGGTGAGAGTTTCATCTTGTGATAAAATAGACAATTGTGACACATTTCATAGACCAGCAGTCTGACTTGAATACATGTAAATATTTTAAATGTGATATTGAGCATGTGCTTCATATTTAATGTTGTTGTTGTTGCTGTAAAAACCTATTTAGACCGTGTATGTGAGGGGTGGGTTGGAGGTGCGTAGATGGAGGAGGGGTTCTTAATATTAATATGTCAATCTGAAAAATTAATCACAATAACAATGAAATGTTGAGCTGTAGTCTCAAATTTTGGACGGTGTTTGTTTGTGGTTGCTGAGTGACCCCCCCAGCCTTTAACTTGTACCTGTACTTTGTGTCTTTTTGTGCAGGTACGCATAGCAGCTAACTTCGTCATCCACGCCCCACCAGGAGAGTTCAACGAAGTTTTCAATGGTGAGTTCTTTTCCTCTAAATAGTGTGTGTGTGTGTGTGTGTGTGTGTGTGTGTGTGTGTGTGTGTGTGTGTGTTGTAAACTTATTAATAATTCCTGGAGGGTGAAGGGTGATGTAATTGCTTGCTTGGCTCTGTTTGAATGTAATGTATGATTTGATATGAGGAGTGCACAACTTGATAATGTGAGACACAGATTCATCACAGCATATAAAAAGTATTTAGGACACTGTCTGAAATACAAAAACAGAACCCTTTGTCTGGAGCAAAATTTAATTTAATGGACCTTAGGTGACTTTCATTTCTTCCTACAGCATTGCTGGTTTATTTGCATGCGCTTGAATATAACATGTTATTAGATATTTTCAGTTTTGTCACTTAGAAAATGCCAATTTTCAAACTACTAGAAGATACAATGAAGAAGCTTTATGCAGGGAGTCTTTAACTATGTAAAAACAGAAGAAGTCAAAGTTACACCCAGACTCTCCCTGGATAAAAAACGATTCTGGATAAGGATACACTGAGTTTGGTTTGAATTTACTTTTGTGATTCCTCACTACTTATTGGCCTGTATAAACTCCAAAAACAATATATTTGCGATTAGCTAATATTAGCTGAAATACTGCTGAGGCTGAATAATGCAGAGGGTTTTGGTCAATTGTTATTTTGTTATATGAATTGCCTTCTACAGGATTATTTTAGAGAGTCACAATCCACCTTGCCATTACCTCCACTTAAGGAACAGCTTGACATGAAGACAAATCTTCTTTAATCTGTTGTTTTGTTGTAGAGTTTACATAGATAATTCATGCTAACAGAACACACAACAGCCTTACACTAGTGCAGAACAGTTAATCACACCTAAATGGAGTGAAACCATCAATGTTATTACTTACGTCTGTGATTGTTCTGCAATGAATCACCAAGGACTTATTAGTTTTTGATACATAACAGTGACTTTTACTCCACCGGCTGTTTACAAACTATCCACTGTGTCTAAGTGAGTCATTTTGAAATGAGTAAATACATCATATTTATGATGTATTAGGTGGATTGTGTAGGTTTATTGTCAAATGAGTTGCTTTTCGGAGTTCAGTGACTCTCGGCAGTTGAGAAGAAAGTTTATTTTAGTCTCTGTAGGCGTATGGAAATAGTCGCACCGACTGCTGCAGTTTCTAACATGCGAGATGTTAGAGGGTGAAGCCTGATCCCACTTCTGCCTCGTGAAAACAATTGTTTCATGTCGTCTTTCTGACATGGAATAAAATAAGTAAGGAGGAATTTAAAATATCTTGGGTCAGGAAAGCGCTGATTTAGGAGACGTAATGGAGCTCGACAAAACGTAAGGAAAACTGTGCGACTCTGCTTTGGAGGAATTGTAGCTGTAGCTCACCCTGCAGCAAGTGTTGACACCACAATGTCAGAGTAGCGCCCCTTGAGACTGTGTGTGTGTGTGTGTGTATGTGTTTTGGCTTTGTTAAAGCTTCGTCCTGCCTCGATAAATGTCGTCACCTCAGAGGAGCGCCGGGGGGCTGTCTGTCTGCTTCTTATCACAGCCTGACAGCCACACACACACTAAAACACAATCCCCTATTGCCTCTTTGCCCCCTTTCATCTCTGTGTGATTTTACAGCCGTTTCCACTGAGCTAATTTACCATGTCTGCTTCACTCCCTTGACATAAATGCTGCAAAGATTGACTGCAGGCAGCTTTGTCTTTTGTGTGCGCGTGTGTGTCACAGTGCTAATCTGCTGTACCTGTCTTCTCTCTCCTCTCCTACTTCCTCTTCCCTCCTCTTTTTTCTTACTCTCTCCTAATCTCTTTATTTTACTCCTCAGATGTGCGATTGCTGCTCAACAATGACAATCTTCTCAGGGAAGGTGCAGCTCAGTAAGTCGTCCCCCCCCCCCCTCTTGTTCTACATCCAGCTCTTGAAAAGTGATTTTAGAATTTGCAAAAAGACTTGAAAGTATGGAGAGAAACATGGGTCAAAGTTCAGCAAGCAGCGCCTCTGTATCTCTAAACACTGGTTGTTGGGTGGATGTCCGGCCTTTTGTTTACTTTTTTTAAATATGATCCTGCAGTGAATGAAAATGAAAGGGGAAGGAGTCTTAAGCTGTAGACTCATTATGGCTTTAGTCTACATCCATATTACCATTTAAATACAGTCTAGAAATTATGTTTGGACAAAGTGCTGAGTTTTAAGTATGAAGTGTATGAATACATTTTTTTGCCTGTCTTTGCAGTGCATTTGCACAGTACAACTTGGACCAGTTTACCCCAGTGAAAATCGAGGGCTACGAAGAACAGGTGAGTTGATGTGTGATGTAATCTTATCAGGTAGGACTCCACAGTTACTAGTGTGTTACTACCAGCCTCGACACTGTGCGGCCGGCTGGGCCTCGTCCTTTCCGACCGTTATACCTACATTTCCAGCTGAGCCGCTGGGCTGTGAACACACTGGCTGAAACCCTCAACGACGACTGAGTGCTCGTGGGTCGGAGTGGCATCATGTTGGCGGGCGTTGCGGCCGGTGTGATCCCATCGCAACACGGTCTCCAGTTTATATTGTGATGTCCCATTAATTGTTCAAGCAGACTACAAGGGTGAAAAAATGTATTTAGCGTGGCAACAAATGAACATGGGAGTGTGTAAAAGCTGTGATTATTTAAATTATTTAATCGCAGAGTGATAACTAAAATAATGTTATAATCTCAAACACATGGATATTTCACAGTTCATAATCTATATCCATATGGGTTTAACAGTCACGTGTTATTGTACACGTCAGTCTCTCAGTGTCGCTCCATGAGTGTGTAACACAGTTTGCTTTGCAAACGTTAAAACAGTGGAAAGAAGAGACAATAACAGAAACATAATACCAGCATTGTAAAGTGGGGAAAGCAACAAGCTCATTCAGTTTTTATTATTGTTGCACTAGTATCACGGCCTTATGGGAATTAAAGCAGAGAGAGGGGATTGGATAATGGATCAAACCAGTCCCAGTGTTCCTTCGCCTCCTCAGGAAACAAGATCACAAACACGTCTTTATTTTAATGTCATTGTGCTCGTGTCTGAGTTTGTGTGAAGGTTGAACACGGCGGTGAAGCCTCAGCAATGATTGCAGTGTCTTATGTAATGATGTCATCATGTCCCTCTGTTCCCACATCACGGCTTGAAACTCCCCTGTCTTATACCCAGCAGGCTGAGCTGAGTGTCGAGGTGGAAGACAGCAGATGGAAAGTTCAGGCTGATGCCTGTGTTCCTGTCTTTCTTCCCTCTCTTAGTTCTGTTTATCTTTTTATTTTTATTTTACTCATTGCATCATTTTAATTTACGTCTTCACTCTTCTCTCCATTTCCACAAAATCTCCTGCCTCCTGATATCTGTTTGTTTGTTACATGTTTGTCTTTTTATTTGTTTACTTTTTCTTTTTTATCTCTCTTTGTCTTGTTTCTTATTTTTCATCTGGCTTTCCTTTTTTCCTTTTCCATTTCTTATTTCTTACCCTTCCTCTAATTCTCCTCTCAATTCTTCTTCTCTCCAGGTCTTAATCACAGAGCATGGTGACCTTGGGAATGGCCGGGTCCTGGACCCCAAGAACAAGATCTCCTTCAAGTTCGACCACCTGAGGAAGGAGGCCAGCGACCCGCGGCCTCATGACGTCGACGGCTCCCTGGAGGGCTGGAGGAGCGCCGTGGACTCAGCCGTCAGGGCCTACGTCAAGGAGCACTATCCCAGCGGAGTCTGCACCGTACGTCCCAGCCCACTTCGTAATCTTCGTTGCTGTATTCTCAGTAACTAAAAGTAACACTTCAGCTCAAAAACATGAAAATTTCTGTCATTGTGTTTTACTTTCAAGATGCAGTTTTGCTCCCACAGTTCCACCCCGGCCTTCTCTCTGACAGTTGATGAATGAAATTTGATTGTTTTAGAGTAAAACAGTTTTTACAGTATGACCCGAACGTTAGGAAAGCAGAAGCTGATGCGTCCTGCAGCTCGCTTTAAAATACAGCAAATGAAAAACCAAAGCAGGCGTGGATGTATAGCACCTTGCACTATGCAAATGGTGGTTTGACTACCTTAGATACGGCCCGAAAAACTGTTTTTATAAAAGACAACCCACATGTTCAACACTTTTTTTTTTTCTTTTTAGATTATCACAAACATGTTTAGTTAAAATGTGGGATTGTTATCTGGCACCAGATTCCAGTCTTCATTATATCCATTTATCTAAAGTGTCTGGTCAGAGTGAGCAAAGGCAACAAGAACTATTTCAACCCATCCCGTACACTGCAGGATTTAATGGTAGGCCTATATTTAGACATTGTTGCAGTTCACTCTATAAGGCTCCTGTTGTGCTTCTTATTTATTAATGCGAAGTGAACAAAACACTTCTGTTGCAGACACAAAACAGTTGTACTCTATGTGGTTTGCCAGATTGCCTCTGAAGACACTGTGCGTATTACAGTCTTTAAGCTGCAGGTTGGCATGTGATTAATTTTGTAGCTGTTAACCACAAACCACTGTGTGATTCATCCGATGCACATGTGCAGCAGTAAAGAAGAAGCTGTGGTCATCAACTAGCAGGGGAAGGTGAAAAACTCTTTGCATGTGAATTCAGGTCTGAGAGTGTCGTTGCTGTTCCCTGTTTAGATTTACGGGAAAACCATCGATGGACATCAAACCATCATCGTGTGCATCGAGTGCCATCAGTTTCAACCAAAAAACTTCTGGTAGGTTTCAGTCAGTTACTTAATGCATCTTTCATTTTGCATCAGTGAGATTTGAATATATATATATATATATATATATATATATAAAAGATATAAGATTTTCTTCTTTCTACGCAGCATGTAGAATTCCCCACGATGGTTTCTAAATCATCATCCTAAACGGCATCTTAAAAAGAAAAAATGTTGAAATGATGAAGATCTTCAAAAGCCTAAAATGTTGTTTGATATGTACAAGAGGCTTCAAAGGCATTACTTTAATTGGCACTTAACTCTGGAGCACTAGACTGTTGGCCCTCGTAAGTGTTGCTGAGCTGTTTCTGATCGGGTTAATCTAATTGGATAAGAACTGCACCAATCCTCTTTGGTGCTGGGTTTTCCAGGCCTTATGGGTTGTTTGGTGTAATGATCCCTCAGCTTCTGTATGCAGCTGCCACTGGTATCAGCAATAGTAAATATAATTAAAAGATATATATATATATATATGCTTTTCCTCTTCAGTGTTTGCTTCCAATTATAATTGGACATAATTTGGTATTTAGATTAATCTATTTTATGTGATTAGAGCTTTTCTTGAATCAACATCAACACCTCCCTGCTTTAGAGGAAAACTCTTGCTCTTGACATTTCTGTAAATTGGACTACTGCTCCTCATGTAATAAAAGAAGAAATCTAACATCATCTCAGGATTAATGAAAAAAAAGTTGTTTTATATCAGATGATGGTAGCTGCAAGGAAACATTTAATAGTCTCCATGCTAATTTATTTATATGTGTACAGAGGAGGGATATCCTCCGAGTTATCTTTATAAAAGTCTTGGTGTTATATAATGATGATTATGATGAAGTTTTGGGAGCTCTGCTGGAGGAATGAAACGGATCATACTGTGGCTGTGATGATGATAATGATGGTGGATGTCGGTCCAAAATCTCCTACAGGTGTTAAATTAGGTTGAGATCTAGTGACTGTGGTTCACAACATTTTCATACGTAACCATTCAGTGACGCCTAAAATCCTGTGTTATTTAAATATCAAATCTTGAGCCAGCTTATATACTGGTTTCATCAGTTCAATAACTCTTTATGTTTAAATATGTCATAATACAAGATGTGACATAAGGACGCTCGAGTGAGAACATCCTGCAGTGCTTCCTATCTCTCTGGATTTTTTTTTTTTACAAAGTTCAAGATAATGTTTAGTTTCTAGATCTTAACTAACAAAGTGACAAAGTGTGGTAAATATTTCTGTTTCCTGAGGCAGACGTGTTGTGTTTTTGTTTTTTTTTCAGCGAGGTAAACAGTTTCAGATTCAGTTTGGTCCTATGTGATGGGACAGCCCTGTAAAGCGAGGAGCATTCATTTTTGTGTGATATCGTTGTAAGGTATTAAGAGGTGTAATGAGAGATTAAAGTCTGGTTTTTGTCTCTTCCTCTTCGCTCAGGAATGGACGCTGGAGGTCAGAATGGAAATTTACCATCTCCCCCTCCACCACTCAAGTGGCAGGAATCATGAAAATCCAGGTATTTGGTTTAAATAATCCACTGTGTGAAGAGATAGACACGTTTGTTGTTACAATGTACAATGATATAAATATTTCTGTCACACTCGTGTCACATGTTTCTACTTCATCAACAAGACTCTTTCTTTGGTTTTCTGCTGCTTCTTTCATCAGAGTCTGGTTGTGGTCTTGATATTATTTCCTTCGTGGAGATACAGGATGAATTTTTAGGCTCCAAATGAACTGAACCTAAACCTTTGTCTTTTCCAGGTTCATTACTATGAGGATGGAAATGTTCAGCTGGTGAGCCACAAAGAGGTCCAGGAGTCCATGTCAATTTCTGTGAGTATAGCTGAACACCTTTTTATTTGTGTGCGCACACAGACGAGGAAATATAATGTGTCGTCACCGTCAACAAATTCAATTCAAGCCATTCTAGTCATCCCAGATATAATTCATGAAGTCTCAGGTATTTAACATATTACTTCCACTGTTTCCAATCCACCCCAGCTGTGGTTTTACCAGCTGAAAAACCAGTTTTGACCTGCTGACAGTTGCCTGGGAATGTGTTTTTGCTAAATTGTTTGCAGTTTGGAGGTGTTAGTTTTGTTTGCACCTTCCCCCAGTCTTTTGTTTATGACACTTTTCCCCCTCAACTCTTAAAATTAATTATGTGCGTCTTCCTGTCACCTTTCAGAACGAGGCTTCAACTGCAAAGGAGTTTGTTAAGATCATGGAGGCTGCAGAGAACGACTATCAGGTATGTAATCTGAAATGGATATTCTGAGTTCAGTATGATTTCCGTTTGTTGTTGGGAAATTGAACTGTCACCTTAGCTTGTGTGGAAAGAGGATTGTTCCGTTTCCAGTCAGGGTTGACACACACACACACACACACGTCTGAAACTTTCATTTATTGATTTATGGATAGGATTTTTAGGGGGAGGTATGAGGTTGGCTGAAACGAGACATCATGTTTTACTCTTGCCAGGATTTTCCAAGTTTTTCTCTTAGTCTACGACCGATGGAAAACTGGGTCACTGATGAATTCGGATGTTTTATTTTAACAGAGACTGCTCTTCCACAGCTGCCCACTCATTAAAAGAAACTAAAGATTGCACAAAACACTGTCATACATAAATTGTATTCTATTTATTTATTTATTTATTTTTAAATCTTGGGTATTTTGAAATATAATTTGAGAAAACAAATCAAGCAAACATCTTGAGACAATCTAAAAAGTTAAATTAAAGTTAAAAGTTTTAATTCATCATCCCACACATTCAGCCTCTGGCAGCGAAAAACATTTTCAAATTTGAATCTATTTGAAAGATTTTATGGAATATATTCTTATTTCCTTTCCTCTCTCCCACTTCAGACGGCCATCAATGAGAATTACCAGACCATGTCGGACACTACCTTCAAAGCCTTACGCCGCCAGCTTCCTGTGACACGCACCAAGATCGACTGGAACAAGATCCTGAGCTACAAGATCGGCAAGGAGATGCAGAACGCTTAAAAACAACGGAGAAGACAACAGACAACTCCCACCCCCACCCACACCCACCCCCAAACCCAACCCACCCTACCCACCCCTCCCAAACAACGTGCCATGCTGGATAGTTGTATCGTCTTTGTACAAAAATTAGAGAAACAGGGGCAAAGAAAGGTTTGGTCTCATAGTCAGATGTCACCTTACACATTGGATGTCTCCTTTTATCGATGTTATTTTGTTTTTATACAGACACAGTTAACTCCACTGTATATTGAATCTATGATGATAATCGTATTTGGGAAACTATAACTTGAGTAAAGATTACAAGACATAGGAAAGGGGGCGGACACTTGTATGCAAAAACACCCTTATAAAGTACAATATCACGTGTGCAATATTTATTGTGTCAGTGAGACCATACCTTTTATTTGACCTGCTAAAAAACGGTTTAAATTTGCAATGATGGTGAAACAAATGATTTCTGGGAGAATTTTGTCTGCAATTTACTAAAGAGCTCAGATATTATGGCTGAAAAGAATGACTCCCTTCACTTCACGGTTAATGTCCCATACGGTCAACGAAAAAAGAAGAAAAAAAAAAAGAAAGGTTCTTTGTGTTCATTGACTGGTAACTTTGGCACAAGCAGGCACCACTGTCAGCCACTCAATGTTCTTGTTCCTTCATTTTGGTACTCCCCTCACTGTTTGTCCTGTATGTGAGATCTCAAGCTCGCAGTGCTCCTGGCTAAATTGCCTTCTTGACTTGACATCCTCTGAACTCTCACTCAGCGCAGGGAGTTCTGTGACCACCTAACAAGCTTAATTAACAAAAGTCATCAATCGCTAAGTAATGTGCATAATGTCCAATTTACAATAAAAACAAAAAGTATCACTTTCTCCTTCAGTGCTTATTTTTATTAAAAAAAAAAACAGAACCTGACTGTATTATATAATAACAAGGCACATTGTAATATATACCTGTATGAAACATCCTGTCTGTCAGTTTGGTGATTTATTTCCATGAGAGTAATTGTAATTCAGTCACAATTATGTTGGATTAAATGACAAATTTTCTATTTACTGACTCACTCATAATTTCTGATACCCTTCATTGTGATACAGGCATTAAAAATTAATAATATATATATTACAAACTCAGGCTGTAATAGGGTTCTTTGAGGTCCTCACACCTGCATGACACTACAGGAAGTATTTCACTTCATGTAGTACTAAAACATTTAAAGCATTTAACAGATTTAATTTGTTGACCACACAGAATCACTACGGATCAAATCTCTCCTTGATGGTGGACACTGAAAGGTCTCGAATAAGACACAGAAATTAACTGAATTAATTTACTGATTAGTAATTTAACACAATTACCAATTTACCAACTCCAAATCAGTGGTTTGTTAAAAACGGTATCAAAACACAGTATACACATAATTACCAAGCAGGACATGTAATATACCATAGATGTAAATTGTGGTTTTATGTGCAGGATGATGAGGATACTGTAAATGTAAGTTGGTACTGATCCCTGTTTTTGCAGGTATGAATATGAAGTGCAGATTTTGGATTAAATTACAGATAAATCAGTTTAATGAATTTTAATGGAATAATTTTAAGGACAGCATTGCTTTTAAAATAAGTGAATCCAACTGAAGAAAACCCATCTTAGTACAAGTCAGATTCGAGTAGCAACTGCTTTTACCCAGTACCTAACTAAAGTCAGTGAGAGGATTGTATTGATCTGTGAAGAGGTAAAAGCACATCGAAAATAATCCCACTAGTATTTCATAAGTCATTGTGATGAAGAGCCAGTGTTGGTGCAGCTGAGAAAACAACTGATCTCTACCTGTGAAGAAAGATGTTGCTGTTATCATTTTCTTGTCTGAAAAGTCTTTTTTATCTGCAATATCAAACTTTATTTTATTCATATGAGGTTTATATAAAATCTTCCACCAGTGTTGCCCTGCCTGATTCACCGCTTTCATTTTCTGATTATATTATCATACCATTTATATTTTGATGATATTGTACAGTGTATATTCAGCACACACAAAATTGTTATGGTTCTATCTTTAGTCTATTTGTTCAACTATTTACATTCATTTTTTATATTGGTATATTTTATTTAGACAATGTAGTTATTGTATTGAATTTAGCCTTTGATAACAATGTTGTCATTTACTTACATCTATCACTTGCTACTGCTAGTCTCATTGTGAGGTGCTCCTAACAGGATGTATTTTATTTATGTATTTTCTCATGTTTTATATAGCTAAAGAATTATGATAATTTTTTATTTTCATATATCCATTTCCGGTGTTTTTTAACCTACATTGAGACATACTTTATTTAGTGCAATTAGTTATTGTACGGACGTTTTGATTATCCTTTAATTACATTGTCCGTCATATACCTACCTCATTGCTTTTGTAATTTATACTAAGTGGCTACTGAAATTTCCCTTTGCGATCTATCTATCTATCTATCTATCTATCTATCTATCTATCTATCTATCTATCTATCTATCTATCTACAGTTAAACAAACAGTTCACCACTTGCTAATGCTAGTCTCATTGTGGGGTGCTGCTAACGACTGTTTATTTATGTATTTTGTCATGTATTATTAAACAAAAAAAATATAATAATGTCTTATAAGATCCATTTTGGGTGTCTTTTAGGTTGGACCTACCTTGAGACACAGGTAAACAGGTACGGTCAGTGACAGCGACATCCTGAGGCGGACGGAGCTAACTGTCCAGGTTAGCGAGCCGGTGGCTAACTGGTAACTGTTAGCTAACGCAGACACGTCTACACACAGACAGTCCGCCGCTGCTGGATACTAGACACATGTTGAACTGCTGCTGGAAGAAATGCTAGCTACGAGAGAGGCTTTAACCGGTTTTCTCACACACACGAATTGAGGTAAGCTCTCTCACACATGTCGCTTTAACTAATCCCCCTCTCCTAACGCTGCCATTCACGGTGTGTTTATTTAAAGTTTTAATGTTTTTGCAAACGTTAGCCGGCTCACGTTAGCACTTAGCTAGCAGGATGAGTGGCTAACACTTAGCCAAGTTTAAATGGAAATCATCATGCTCGGAAAACCTGCGTGGGTAAATGTTAAATGCGCATTAGGGCATCAGTGGGATATTCCCAACCAGCACGTAATTACTTTCCCTCTTCCGGCACCTTAAGTCAAGTCAAGGGATCAGAGCGTTGTATTGTTTTTAATCCTCTCCATGGTGAGTCAATGCAATATCTCTTATATGTTGCTGCAGAGTTTACAATGCCAACCGTGTGTCCCGGTGCCATTACTTCATCCTGTCTCTATGCCAAGTTTTGCCTTTGCTAACAGAAGGGGGGGGGAAACCCTTCTGTTAGTGATGCATTGTAAGCAAAGTCATAAAAAAATAAATAAATAAATGAAAGCCCTAACTTTGATCTCAAGTTTACCGCTGCTTGTTAGCCCTGCGGACCTCAAGTGTTTGCCTCTGCTGGGCAGTCAGCGTCGGCTCAGCGGTCTAGTTGGCATTATATGTCTCCTTGCTCTCACAGCAGCCAGTGATGAGTCTCCTGTGACTGTGTGCTGAGCAGTAGATGGAAGAATGTGCTCTTTCAGCAAGCCAGCTGGCTGGATCTAGAGACGGCGGGAGAGCCTTTAGGCACACACAGGCTTGTTGAGGAGTCTTAATAATAGTGTGCATGCTATGTGTGTGTGTGTGTGTGTGTGTGTATATGTGTTGGACCTGGACAGTCATAACCCAAAGCAGGGATGTTGGAGGTTTATGTGCCGGGTTTAAGTGAGGCTTCTCTGCTGCTGACTGTCACCTTGTCACTTCTTGCACAGAAAGGTGTTAATGTACAATATGTACCCAGCTGACGCCTCCCTTAAATTGGCAGTGTGACAAACCTCAGTCATCCTGCACAGGTCTGGAAACGTATAGGAGATGATCTGGATTATTGGCAGTTCTTTAGAGTTATTAAAAATACCTAAACCCTGACAAATATTATCATCAGTTAATCGAGCTGTGATCATATTGCCTACCCACCACCAGCATATATCGTTATCATAAGTAGTTATTTCTGGGAATAGACAAAATTCTATGCAGCTCTTCTAAATGGAAGATATGAAGCAATCCTTGAGCAATAATGACCTTTCTGCTGTTTTTATCACATCATCAGGATTAGGGCTAAACTTGTAATAGCTTTAACTTGATAGATATTGTGACCACTAATGTTTGTCATTGTTATCATCTTTTAAATCCAAAACCATTTTCCTGTGCTTGTGGCATCCTGTAACGCAATCTTAATACTGTCCACACAATCAGGCAGGGTCCGAAAACACCTCCTGCCCAGCACCACATACTGTATGCATGTACAGCTTGGACTACCCAGGCAATAATATGTGAATGTATTGATTTAAATCTAGTGTTTTACAGTCTTATCAGACTTTTAAAGTAGCACATACTTAAATGAATTCTCCTTCAGTTTATGGTAAATAAAAAATCTCCATATATTGTTGTAGTAAACCAGTCATTAGCTGGTGCGTCACAATGTAAATCTCTTACACTGTCTACAACAACAGCATGTTTTCATAGTCAAATGAACCTTTTCAGCGCTGCTCGTGTGTCAGATTTGCTCTTCTGAACTGTGTAATGTTTATGTAGTTTAGGACGGACAAATATGTACTGTTAGCATAATATCATGGAGGAAAAAGTGGAGTTTATGACCTTGGTTATATATAGTTTCCTCCTCCTTATCAGATTTGACTAAAGTAATGCAGGTAATCCCTCAGTACTGACAGTCTTATTGCAATTAACTTCATCGCGTGTAGTTGGATTGAACTGAAAAGCCGCAGCCGCTCACTACCCGCCTACTGTTACAGACCCTAAAGTGAGAGTGACACTGATAACACAGTTTCACTTCCGCTTCCTCGTTAACATCAGTATATGACTTGATGTTTCTTCTTAGTTCCTCTTTCCCCCTTTACAATGAAAAATCCTTCAACGGTGGGATTCCACCTTAAAACAATCAGCAGATTGTCACATCAGCCGCTTTCTCGCTCTCTTGTGGTTTCTTGCATTTCCCAGAATTACGTTGGACGTCCCCCAGAGGATTTGCTTGCTGGTGTTGTTGCATCCCCCTGAGGTGGTAAAAGCAAAAGCAGTAGTTTTAATAACAGCAGGAGAGAGAGATGGATCCCCCTTGGGGAATAAAGCAAGACTTGTGTCCTTTACTCACAACCATCATGTTGTGTGGCGTCTTTGTGTCGATAAAATAACAAGATTGCTGTTTTCTGGTGTCCTCTTTCGATTAATATCTTCCTAACAAAACAACAAAACAATTCTGCATTTATGTTTTACGTGAGATCTCTGGAGGGTTTTCAGCAGTCAGAAAAAGGTATATTCATAACCTTGTGTCTATGTTTAGCCAACTGGAACACAGGAAACTGTAGTTCTTAGATAAGAGGCTAAAATAAAATCAGTTAATGATCCAAATTGAGAAATCATATGATCTAAAGTTACAGCACTTTTGAGTTCATTCTAATGTTAAATTTCCTGTGTAAATATTGCGCTGACCAGATAATGAGCTCATCAGTTTTACAACATTGTGCAGCTGTGGATCTGTGAGTGTATGTGGAAAGACCCGTTTCCATAGAAATAATAAGAGGGTGAAAGTCATGCCGCTAACTCAAAATGCAGCATAGTACGTGGCTGCATTGCACTGTGGTGCACTAAAGCTGCTGTCAGTGACTAAATCTGTATCTGTAGAGGTATATGTACATGTAGCTTCCTGTGTATGCGTCAGGGGTCAAGTGCGGGCTCCTTGATTCTGATGAGCTAATGCCGATATCTGTCGTTCACTGTTGACGTCTCGGATGGCTCAAAGTGATTCTTCTCAACTTGAAGTTTCCTCGGTTAGTCACGGCCTGGAAATGCATATTAGTTTACCCGAATCCGGCAATGGTGGTGAAATAAATCAGCAGAATCGTCACATTACATTTAGGCTTACATTTAAATCATTGATATCGAGAGCTTTTCTCAAAGGTCCCATATTATATAAAGGGAGATGTCCATGTGTTGTTTGATTATAGATCAAGACCTAGGTTCTATATTAAGAGAAAATACACAGAGAAAAACGCACACAGCCTGTATTCAGAAAACTGAGCCTTAAAACCAGCCGTCAGGACTTCCTGTAACTTTGTGATGTCACAACAAAGCAGTCACTGCCCTCACCCATGCCCCAAGCCCCGACCACCGGGACCCATCATCACAACCTGAGAGGAGATGTAAAACTACGTTGAGATGGTTTTTGGTTCTTAAAACCACAAATACATCTTCCCATGGATCAACGCTTCAAATAAAACACTGGGAAAGTGTAAAATATGGGACCTTTAAAGATTGTTACTGCACCTTTTTATAAAGTGTTCTTCATCACAAAAGAAGGTGTTAAATGTATACTCTCATCTAGTTTTAGTATACATTATATAAGGTATGTTAGTAATATGTTTTTGATCATCAAACAAAAATAAAACACATCGCACATCATTTAAACACCAAATATCTTTTTAGGTTTTTCATCTTGTTTCCTTCTGTAAACGCCCATTTATGTGGCTCATATAGATACAATAACACACCTCGTATCTTTGGTGAGCTCTGAGTCCCATGACTAGCTGTGTGAAAGGAAACTAGAAATAATTTCAGAAACCACACTGATGAGGGTGAGATAGCCAAAAACATTTGGTGAATAAAGTTCTGGAGAAGAGAGTCAGATCTGTTTTGATGGAGTCGCGTTGAGGCCTACGTCAGCACGCGCCTCGCTGTGTAGTTAGAAACTGCACCGTCACCCATTATCATCACCTCCCTGATTTGCCAATCTACATATTAATCTAGATATTGGCTTGAGCTATACATCTACATCCTGTAATGCTTACAATGCAGAGTTTAAGTTGCGTTCATCCATCTCACAAATTCTCACAACGACATTTCCTTTCAGTCACTTGAAGATCACGTTGAATTTGCAAATTGGATGTTGAACTGAGCTGAGTGGAAAGAAGCTAGACCCCACTCATAATTGTGTAGATTGCCTTGACTCAGCAATAAGATGTTTGTGGCTCAGTTGCTGAAAAAGATTGGTCCTGGACTCTGGAATAGGCGTCGTAATTTTGATGTGTTGCCACCAGGCTCAAAAGGTCAGAGCATAAACGGGGATTTGCAGAACATTTTGCAGTAACATATCAGCTGCTAGTAGCCCTCAGTGACTATTCGAGCAGCGCTGCAATTGAAGAAATGGCCTACGATGTGCCTTAATGTTTTTTCTTGTGGAGAATGTTGGGATGCTGATAACTTGATAACTTGTATCTGGGTTCAGACACTTTCTGCAGGGCATTTTTCCCAGGCTTCGTATTCCCCAGAGAATTAATTTATGCATCAGAAATAGAAATGAAATCTCCTTTTGAAGATGGAAAAAGATTCCAACATTGTCAGCCAGGGATGGGGCGGTGAAGCCTCCATATAAAAGGTCATTGAACAGCTCTGCAAGCGAGGGGTGGTCTTTGGAAAACACACAAATAAGACTGGGAAAGTATGGGCAGATTTAGTGGACATGTCACAGTGCAATGAGGCAGTAAACATTTTCCATACATCACACTGATCTAAGTGTTACAGTCCAGTCCAAAATCAAGGTGCAGAACAAAAGTTTGGGATTTTAAAAACCCAGTGAGCGAGCTGAACGATGTGACACGCACAGACTCAAAGCCAGATCAGACTGGTCAGGAACCTTTATTTAGAACCTGTACACCGCTTTGGTAACATGATCTCAGCCAGAAATGTTTGCCCTACCTTTGGCGGGGGCAGACTGCCCCTGCCCCTGCCCCTGCCCCTGCCCCTGCCCTTGCCCCTGCCCCTGCCCCTGCCCCTGCC